CTAGACATCAAAAATAGACGGAGACGATGAAATCATGGATACGGTATACCGCAAAGATCGAGCGGGAAAAGGCCCTTATAACCGCGGCAACCAACATGCGACAATCGACAGATAACCCCCTGGTACAGCAGCGAGTTGATGCAAATATCCGCGACAGTCGCAAGAATATCGTCTACTTGGAGGAGAAGATGCGGGAACTCCAGATTCGCAAAATGGGCCGTGATGGCGGCCAATCTCCCGACCAACCTGGCTCTCCGGCAAGTCCTCGAGGCGCGTCCCGTGGTTATGGCAGTGGACCTCCACCTCCTCCCAAGGATGATGGCGGTCGCTATGCTTCCAATGACAGAGGTGACTATGGGGATGTCGGCCCGGGAGGATATAGCCAGGGTGGAACTGGAGCTATGCCGCCCCGTGCTCCATATGGGGACCCTAGGCCTGATACTTCCATACCAAAGGCCCGGCCAAATTTTAGCAAACTAGGCAAGTTGTCGTAATATGTCACTAAAAGCTACCTGAAGGCCCAGCGGGTTTATTGTGATGTAGACTTTAGCTAACAGGGTTATTCCGTCGTACCAGATTTGATTAAATATGACACTCCATACCTTGGACCGAAAATCCAACTTATGTTATCACAGTTAGAATTCAAACTTAGTGTTGAGAAGCAATACAAAGACGGGATTGAGAAGATGGTTCGGTTGTATCAAGATGAGGGAGACCGGAAGAGCAGAGCGGATGCCGAGGGACGGCGAATCGAGAGCATCCAGAAAATCAGGCTTTTAAAGCAGGCTCTGAAAAGATATGAAGATCTCCACGTTGACATCGCATCCTCTACGGATCATCCCGATGGTTTGTCCTCACCTACACTGGTTTATACTCTTTTCCCGTCTTCATTCTCTGTGTGACTAACGTGGATGCATTGTAGATGAGAGTCTGAATTCGCCAAATATTAGAAAGCCCCTTACCGGTCATTTAACAATGCGCATCCACGCAGTGAAAGACGTTGACCATGCAGCAAGCTCTCGGTTTTCACGAGGCCCTGAAACATTCGTTATAATGAAAGTAGAAGACGCGATTAAGGCAAAAACTAGAGCAACTAGAAGCGATAAATGGACTGAGGAAACTTTCAATGTAGATATCGACAAAGCCAACGAGATCGAGCTTACGGTTTATGACAAGGCTGGAGATCGTCCAACTCCAATTGGAATGCTTTGGATTCGAATATCCGACATTTCGGAAGAGATGCGGCGGAAAAAGATAGAGTCGGAGTTCAACGCATCCGGATGGGTCTCCGCTGACAAAATGGAACACGGAGGGCCCAGTGGAATCAGACCAGATGCTCAATTCCATAGCGTTTCGCAGCCCTCGTTTGGTGGGGGTTCACAAGCAGGACCCAACGCCCAGCATATAGCTCAGAATGCAACCGTGATGATTGATTCATGGTTCGCGCTAGAGCCTGTTGGTAGAATACATCTCACAATGAGCTTTGGTAAGTCTTCGATAAGCACTTTTGATAACCTATTGCTAACCAACTTATAGCAAAACAATTAAAGGATCGACGGCCATTTGACATTGGTCTCAATCGACAGGGTGCTGTTCGCCAGAAGAAGGAAGAGGTCCATGAGAAACAGGGACATAAATTCGTTACACAACAGTTCTATAACATTATGCGTTGCGCTCTCTGTGGAGATTTCTTGAAGTATGCTGCAGGCATGCAGTGTGCAGATTGCAAGTACACATGTCACAAAAAATGTTACCCGAAAGTCGTCACCAAGTGTATCAGCAAGGCGAATTACGAAACCGATCCAGACGAGGAGAAAATCAACCATCGTATTCCCCATCGATTCGAGGGTTATTCGAATATCTCTGCTAGTTGGTGTTGCCATTGTGGCTACCTATTGCCTTTTGGGCGGAAAAATGCCAAAAAATGCTCAGGTATTGTCAAACTCTGTCGATATGTTTTTTTGTCGATTCCATGATTACTGACATTCCCACTAGAATGCAGTCTTACATGCCATGCGCAGTGCGCGCATCTCGTTCCAGACTTTTGTGGCATGTCAATGGAAGTTGCCAACCAAATCTTAGAGACTCTTATTCAAACCAAAAATCATAACAAAAGCGCATCTGGAATGAGTAACCGCACCTTACGTCCACCTGGCCGCCCACAACCAGCAGGAGAAAGTGGACAGAAACCACCAGATCCTGGGTATGGACAGCCCCTGAAACTTGCTTCCGCAGAGGCAATCAGCGCGGCCCATAGCTCCTACACGCCTCAGTCACCGGTTGCGTCATCCAGACAGAGTCACCCTCCCCGTGGTTCCTCAAATGCAGCGGCCGCTGCCGCTGCAGCCGCAACGGGTATGCGTCCACCCTCACAGCCTGGGCCTCCCACGGCCTATGAAAGGGCCGGAGAGTACCCTGGGGTTCGACCAGCTGATCAGTATCAAACGGATCCTCGTGGCATCGCAGATGCCGCCCGTCAACCCCAACAGCAGCCGCCATCACATGCCCACTATGATCCGAGCGCCTACGCGAGCATAGGTACATACGGCCAGGCACCACAGCTTCCCCCTCTACAGGTTGCCCCACCTCCCTTGCAATATGGCCACTCCCAGCACACACCGCTTACATCGCAACCTCCCATGTCCGCACTCCCTGTGAAAGAACCCCAGTCCGGACCGGTCGCCACGCAGCAGCCACCACAACAACCGAAGCCTAAAGTTGGCCTGGACCATTTCAACTTCCTGGCTGTTCTTGGAAAGGGGAATTTTGGCAAGGTTATGCTGGCCGAGACGAAATCTTCTAAGAAACTATACGCTATTAAAGTATTAAAGAAGGAATTTATTATTGAGAATGATGAAGTGGAGAGTACGAAGTCTGAAAAACGGGTGTTCTTGATTGCTAATAAGGAGCGACATCCCTTCTTACTTAATCTCCATGCATGCTTCCAGACGGAAACTCGTGTCTATTTCGTCATGGAATATATTTCTGGCGGTGATCTCATGCTTCATATTCAACGTGGTCAGTTTGGCTTGAAACGTGCACAGTAAGTTTCTCCTACAATTTATATGCGCTTAAGAAGCAGGAGTTTGACCCGCGCTAATAATATTCCAGGTTTTACGCCGCTGAGGTCTGCTTGGCGTTAAAATATTTCCATGAGAACGGCGTAATCTACCGTGATTTAAAACTTGATAACATTCTGCTAACGCTGGACGGCCACATCAAAATTGCCGACTACGGGTTGTGCAAGGAGGAAATGTGGTACGGCTGTACCACCAGCACATTCTGTGGCACCCCTGAATTCATGGCACCAGAAGTATGTCCCGCTATTGAAATCTTGCATGTAATCTTGTCTGTACTCACATTCTGTACAGATTCTCTTGGACAAAAAGTACGGACGCGCGGTCGATTGGTGGGCGTTTGGCGTCCTCATTTACCAGATGCTTCTCCAGCAATCCCCTTTCCGTGGCGAAGACGAAGACGAAATCTACGATGCAATCTTGGCAGATGAGCCTCTCTACCCAATCCATATGCCCCGCGATTCTGTGTCGATTTTACAGAAGCTATTGACTCACGAGCCGGAAATGAGACTTGGATCTGGACCAACAGACGCGCAAGAGATCATGTCCCATGCATTCTTCAGAAACATTAACTGGGATGATGTATACCATAAACGCGTGCCTCCACCATTCTGCCCGACCATCTCTAACCCAACGGATACAAGTAACTTCGATCAAGAGTTTACAAGCGTGACGCCTGTGTTGACTCCTGTACAATCTGGTACGTCCAACCGATTCCATTCAATGTTAGTCTTTCTAGATTTTGTACATTTACTTACAATTTCACAGTCCTCTCGCAAGCGATGCAAGAGGAATTCCGCGGCTTCTCGTATTTCGCCGATTTTGTTTAATTGATTTGCTCCAGGAACTAAAACAATTCTGTCACATCGGGATTCCCAGATTTTTCCCCACCATCTCCCTCTTTTGGAATTTACATTATCCTTCTCAGGTTTCTTCTTTCTCTCCTCTTTTTCTCTTCAAATTTCTCTTTTACATTGTCTATTTTGAAATGAGTATCACAGACCCTTTATCACTACGCCTCTTATCAAAAATTTAATTCCCATTATCCAATCAAAGACGGACACCCCCATATTTAACGAAGATTACTTCCCATGATTGAAACAAAAAGTATATACCTGCATATATACATACATTCCCTCAGCTTAGCGGCCGTCAAGGGGGGGGGAGGAAGAGCTGGACTCCAGACGAATGAACACCGTCGAGCGTGCCTGAGTGTCCCAGAGCCATATTGCTTAGGTAGGCGGCGATACATAGGCTTATTTTGATAATAATTTTTTTGTTGAAAAAAGAAAAAAAAGAAAAAAGGAAAAGAGCGCCTGCACCCAACTAATTTACAACAGACTTACAGTACATCGATTCGGAGGTGGTGGACTTTTCTTAGGCTTTTTTGAACTTTTGTTTCCAAAGTTCTGCTGATACAACACCACGGTCCGAATTTTCATTGATTAATCTTCTCAAAATTACATCTACCTAATTATTATTATATCTCCCTGCACCTACACTTGTTCCTGTTAGTTCATATAATTTCATTTTAACTTTTCTATTCTTTTCTATTTTTCCTATTTGTTCCTTTCTAGCTTCCCTCCTTCCCCAGAGGATGGGCCTTGTCTCGGAGTGTGGGTCGAGTGGGACGACCAAACGCGGGCTTAGTCATTCCTTGTTCCATTGCAAATATCCAAACAATGAAATTCTCTTCGTTGATCGAGGGCTGTCACAAAATGATTGAATCTCAGTGTACAGTGAGAAAAGATGATGGAGGTCAAAGGGGTAACGTATATAACAATCACTGTCTGTTTGTGCTTTAGAGTTATTTTTTATCTTCTCTCCCTTGAAGTGTCCTTGTTCCGTAAGATATTTGAGATATACCCCTTCGAAGCTCTACATAAACGGATTATTATTTATTTCTCTTCACATGCCTGCGTAGGGCTTCAGTATAGCAACGCCGCACTAAACCCTGTTAGGTTAAATTGGCAGCTGCCTGGGGAACCAACATCATCGCGTGCCATGCAGGTTAATCGCGTTCCTTGAATTCACGAGCAACACCAAATTCTTCCACTTTTCACTTCACTGTCCTTGCTGTTCCTTGACAACACAACAGCAAGCCATACATTAATCTCATAATGAATTCGTCCCACCTTCCTCCAGTTCACGCCCGATACTTGCTTTCGGACAAAGCCAACCAAGGACTATAGTTCAATCTGACCCATCCCCTTGCTTTCTTCGACCGGAAATACCAAGGCAACGTTTCTTCATTGTTTGCCTTCTTTCATATCGTAGATTTCTTTCAGAGAACTTGACTGTTTATGGACCTTGCGATTGAATCCATAAAAGAAGATGGGCTACCTCTCGGCTTTCCGCCAATCTCTCTCTTCGTTTCTGACCCCCAAGAAATCCCCTCTCGAACGGCCACAGCCACGACCTCTTTCTCCCACGACCAGCGCAACCGAGACGTATGCGCCATCATTTACAAGAGTCTTACACCGTCGTTCAATGAGTCCCACATCCAAGACGCAAGATTGGTTGTCAAGCACCACGTCCAGCCAATTTGGAGGAACAAGCGGGGACGGAATCGAGTTTGTAAACCCGCAAGGGAAAACGGGATACCATGCTTCCAAGATGAGTGAAATCATGGAGACACCCAAAGACGCTTACAGGAACTTTATGCAACTTCCAACTCCAGCTAAGTCGGGCCTGAAGAGGAAATTGGGTTTTGATCGTCGTGGCCCTCAATCGGGAACTCAAATCAGCGACAGCGAGTATGATCTTGAGGGCGATACGATTGCGGTGGATGAGGCTACTCCAGCCAAAAAACGACGGGTCGGCGAGGGCTTGGTGTATGTGGGCGATCGAGAGACGACAGCATCACAGCTGCATGAGGAGCGGGATTTGCTTGAGGGTGATACACTTGGCGTTGACGATACTGAGTTAATGGCATGCTCTGGAGTTGAAAGTGGCGCTGAAGGTTCGGATATAGCCAATGACGAGCCCAATGTCTGTGACGATGCAGACGTGGAATCCCAGATTACCACCGATGATTTGGGAGCCGATGGCGATGATGAGGTTCTCCTAATGCACCCGCGTCCGGATAAGGTAAACCGTGGCTCGAAGACCTCTTGTGACACAGACGGCACTTACCACCCTTCACCACACGCTGTGGACAAGAATCTTACCAAGAGCATCGTCCATCAGGCCGTGGAAAACGAGCTAAGCGAAGAGGAGGTCGTGGGGAAGCAGCACATTGTGAGCAAAAATGAAAGGAAAGAAGTGGCATTTGATTTCTCTCTAGAGAGAGCGGAACGCTGGGTTGCTGCTATTAAATTACCGAAGGGCCACTGGGCCGAAGCGGAGGAGGATCTCTTCTATCGCCTTGCAATGAGAGGATTCGAACCTCTCGTGCCTAGCAATTGGCAACTGGATTTCAGCACCCTTCCTGAATCGTTGTTTGGACTCCCTGGAGATATTACCCCTCCGTACATAAATGCGACTGGTGGCTCAAACTTTCGTGGTAAGACTACATATATTCAAAATCTTTCTCGCACACTGCTATTCTCTTATCACTATTTTTTCAAACTAACTGTATGCCAGCTATCAATGCTCTCACCGATCTCTTTGAGCTTGGCGGTCAAGTCAGGGACCGCCAATCAGTCCACCTTCGCCCCGAGCCAGTTATCCGTCGCGCCATTACGAGATATATTAAATGGGCATTATATGATTCTAACTTCCTCAATCGTCCAAATGCAATTCCCGTTCACGCTATATATTCTCTTAAACCATCCGAATCCACTCGCGATGCCCTCCAAACCCTAAATCACCGGCTAGTCATGTTAGCCAATCGTTACCGCGTGGCTTGGAAAGTAGCTCCTAGTGTCGAAACCAGTTTCGATGAAAAGAAGAACAACACCAAGAATGATGAAAATGATCGATGCGACAGCGCTAACCGATATTCCAGTCGCTCATTTCCCGTTATTACCGGGTTTCTGGTCTGCGGGCCAATCGTTGCCCTTCTCACCCTAAACTCAGACCCCAAGGTACACCCTATCCTGGACTCAAGGTTCTCTGCCAAATTCATCTCGCAATTTGATTTTGGCGAGATTGCCCAGGATGTGTGGAATTCGTTCGCTGTTGCCATTGCTGTTGTACGGATGCGGAAGACAATGGCTCAATTAGAAGTGGAAGGGCAGGGGGACGTGATGTGGATGGATTGCAATGAGGCCGATTCGGTGGACCCGGATCTCTAGGTATTACGTTGGCCTAATATCGAAAGATATACTCCGTAGTTATCTTTCTCCAGGAATAGCTCGTTGGTGCTATTCAATTGAGCAGCTATGTCATGGCATGGGCCACTCGATCGTGGTGGTATGCACTGTTGCTGGACTGAATGATAAAACTCAATCTCCGTTTGCTTGAGCTCGAATGTCGTTAAGCTTATTCGTTTTCTGTTTCTTTTCTGCTTTGTATGTCTTACGATTGGTATGTGCTTATGACGAAAGACATGAATACGGACCGGATGATATGGAATTAAGAAGCACTTTGGTTTATACCCCTCAGTTTTTTTCTTCCGTGTTTTTACTTTGTAGGCCATGAGATTGCAGAATGTATTGTCTTCAAATCCACTTCACTATGAATCGTGAGCATCGAATAGAATCCAGTTCTATGTGTAGCAATGAGATTGTGCATCATCCTTAGAGATAATCCCCCAGTTGCAATATAAGTCACGTGTTTTGGAAGGGATGGACCTCTTCTAAGAAGCAAACCACGAATCTGCTGTTGGAGTAAAAACCAAAGAGAAAGACAGTTGAAAAGTGAACTCAAAATATGGATGCTCCTCAGGACAGAGACATTAAACTCCAGCGTGCTTCTAATGATTTGATACGAGAAGCAAGATCAAAACTCGCCCTGCTCCTCTGGAAATCGCGTCCTGGTGGCGGCCGTGAGGTCCATCGGCTAGCACAAGTTCGCAAGGCTTTAAAACTGATAACTCTCGTAAGTTTATAATTCTGTCTCATGAAGGGAAATAGTAGTGTTTATATATATATAATATATATATGGCTATAATCTATGGACTATTCTAACATTCCCCATTTGGGCGTGTTCTTCTTCTCCCTTTGGTGGACAATCTTAGTTGGAACCATTTCAAGAATGGCCACAGCTTTTAGATCCCTATCTGCAAGAAATACTATCAAACCTAGTGGATGCATTCTTAGCGTATCTGGAAGTGCACAGAGCTCAATATGTGCTCGCGTCATCGAACGTTTCGATGCAGAGGAGAGCCGCCATGGGCCCTCTGATTCCTTTGCCCAGGGCAATCTGCATGATTCTATACACGCTCTGCAAAATCCGTGGCGTCAAAGTCATTAGCTTGTTTTTCAACAATGAGCCAAAATATCTGGAAGTCATGTTGCGCGTCTTCATTGAATGGGACAGTGATGTCGTCGCTCTCGAGGCAGATACCAGTGAA